AGAGATATAAGCCTCCGAAAATCGAAAAAGGGACCAAACATTTTTTGGGGTGACTCGAAAGTTTAGGATCCGGGTCAGGGTGGACGCAATTGAACAACAACAATTAAACGGAAAACGAGGTTTAAACGCCACAGGCGAGAATTTTGTTAAATTTGGAAGGACAAGTCACCAGACAAGTCACCAGATTTATTCCCTTTTCTGCGCCGCAGGCGAAAATTTTGAGAATTTTGGAAGATCCTTAAGCCAAAAATCTTCATTTTCTGCGCCGCAGGCGAAAATTTTGAGAATTTTGGAGTTCCTTAAGCCAGATTTCTTCCTTATTTGCGCATCAGGCGCGCATAATAATTTATTTCCTGTGGAAAAACAATTACTTTGTCATTCATTAAGTTCGGTTCGAACCTAATACAATGATAATTCCTCAAAACTATGAACCCAGCACACCATCCATTCAACCACACATCTTTTGAATGAAAAATAAAGATAATCTTATTCACTCGTCTCAATTTTCCCTTCCTTTTCCTCTTACACCTTCCACTTTCGCTCACTTTTTCTTCTTTTGGCCATCATTAGGGGTGTATCTTTGGAACCGGTTCTGGAACCGGTTCTAAACCGGTTCCGGACCTTTACCGGTTCCACGGTTCCGGTTCCAAACCGGTTCCGGGCCTTTACCGGTTCCACGGTTCCGGTTCCAAACCGGTTCCGGACTTTTACCGGTTCCACGGTTCCACTTCCGGAACCGGAACCGGAACCGCACCGGTTCCGGAACCGGAACCCCCGCATCACTGCGGACCGGCCTCCGGTTTTTTTCCGGATTTTTCAAAAAAAATTTTTCCTAATTTTTGCATAAAAATGTTGTAAGAGATGTGTTGTTTTTGTGTTATGATGTTGATAGTGGGGATATCTAAGGATTTTGCAGGATTATGAAGGATGCTTAGTGAAGTTGTGGAGATAATATAAAGGATAACGATTTATTTTGGTGAATAAAATGGATAACAGGTGATTTAGAGGATTGGGATGGATAGTGGAATTTTGAAATTTTCTCGCACTCGTACTTTCGTACAGGAAATTAACAATTATGATATCAATTTAAAATCTTTTTCACAAAAATAATGGAAGGATCATTTCATTAATATGCAGCTTACAGTTGGTATTAGAGCGCGGAATTTCGTACCGTACCGTATTCTGTACCGTATTTCCGGTCATATTCTTTTCCGTATTCCGTACCGTATTTCAGAATTGAACCGTTCCGTAAAACGGTACGGAATACCGAAAAATACCGATACCGAAAAATACCGATAAAAATTTATCGGTATTCCGTACCGTATTTGAAAAAATTATGTAATTTGTTAAACAATAATTATGTATATTTATATATAAATCTTTAGAAATATAAAAATCTTTTTTTAGATATATAAAAAGATATATAAAAAATCTTCTTATCAGATATAAAAAATCTTTAGATATATATAAATCTTTCTTGGATTTAAATTATTAAGATAGATATGGAGGGATATCTGAAGATTTAGAGGATTTTAATGATAGACAGGGATTAAAGAAAATATTCTTTTGATTTCTAGTGATTAATGAGGATTCGGGATAGGATGATTATTGAGAATATAAGTGGATTTATCGGGACTAAGGGGATTTACCTTCAAATATTCTTAATACCAAATTACCCTCAAATCCTCTATTCCCAATCCAGATTAGGGCTGGACGCAATTGCGGACTGCGGCTGCGGAAATTTTTTCAGTTGCGTCCAGCCCTGATCCAGATATCTCTTAATCTCTAGACTTGAACTTAGGCCCTATAAAATCCATTTAATCTTCACAAATCCACTTAATCATAACAAATCATTAGATACCTCTGTTAATTCCCTAAATCCATTCTTAATTACTAATATTTCCTCTATATCCTTCATTTAAAACAATATTTTCAGTGCCGCAGGCGAAAATTATTAGAATTTTGAAGTCCAAGTAGGTTAATTTCTTCTATTTTTAGCGCCGCAGGCGAAAATTTTTAAAATTATTAAGGATAAGAAGAATATTTTCCCTTAAAATCAAATAATAATTTAAAATTTATATCGGTCGGTATTATCGGTATTTTAGTTTTGCCGTACCGTAGAACGGTACGGAATACCGAAAAATACCGATACCGATAAATACCGATCAACTTTAAAATTTTACCGTACCGTAATCCGTACCGTATTACCGATACGGAATACCGATAAATACCGAAAAATACGGCCGTAGTACGGTACGGTCCGAGCTCTAGTTGGTATATAAAATTTCCTGAAATATTCATGATTATCTAAAATACCGATAACGATATATATTCTAATGAAATATCTCTGATATTGGCTATAAAAAATATTAATCTTATGACTGATTATAACTACCTTAAATTTTATAAACATTTTTCTAAAATTTTTCCCAGCTAAAGTATAAAATAACAAAGAAGAAGTTGAGAGTTTTGTAGCATATTCCTTCCATTTTAACTCCAATTTTGTTTTTCCAATTGTATGATTATTTATTAATTTATTATTTATATTAGCTGCTTTAATTAAATCAAATAGCAATTCAAGAGGCAAAGGGGAATAATTTTTATTGTTTTTGTATTTTTTGTAATTTTTATTTTGGGAATTTTCCATTTTTATCTGAAAAGTATTTTAAATTATGTGTATTCCATTCATAAATTGTTTCCAAAGGGTAAATATTAAGGCCCGGAATTTCGTACCGTACCGTATTCCGTACCGTACTACCGTATAATACCGATACCGATAAACACCGATGAATTTCAAATTTTTTTAGAATTTTCAATGGACAAGAAGCCTTTTTTACCTTAAAATACAATAAAATTTTGAAAAATTTCATCGGTCGGTTGTATCGGTATTTTAGTTTTTCCGTACCGTATTACAGATACGGAATACCGAAAAATGCCGAAAAATACGGCCGTAGTACGGTACGGTCCGGGCTCTAGTAAATATAAGACATTAATTAAATAAAATACACATTCCGGAAAACAAATATAAATTCTTCAAAAATTAAATAGAATACATTTCGGAAAGTAAAGATAAAACATAAAATAATATAAACATTCCGGAAGACACATTTTAATTGTTTTAAAAAACAGATTAACCCAAGAACAGAATATAGAACTTTCCGAAAACAAAATAGAACAACTTCCGGAAATTAAATATAAAATATACAAGTAATAGAATACTTCCGGAAAAACTTAATTTACAGTAAATATATAATATAGATTTTCTGGAAAACATTTAAATTTAACTTCAAAATACAAACTCGAAACTCACTTAAAAATAAATTTTTCAAGAAACAAAATAGAATACTTTACGGAAAAATAAATAGAACACATTCAGGAAAATCGAAAGTTAATATAAATATTCCGGGAAATCAAAAAAGGTAATTATCGGTTATACGCCCACAAACTGAGTGCCGGCCGAATTATAACCGACAAATCTGGAAAGCACTAAATAACTGGACTTATCGTATCATATCTTTTAAATGAATGATCAGAATTGATAAGGTATAAGGTACCGCTTATAAGGTACCGCTTATCGAGGGCTTTCGAATGATAAGATTTATTTGAATTGGATCAAGCTCAAAAAAGTTATTAACAATCAATGTCGGATGCCACTCAGTTTGTGGGCGTATATCCGTCAAGTACCCAAAAAAACTTCAATTAATAAAAACTTTACAAAAAACACAATTAAATGTGTTTCAAAAAAACTTATTGGAGATAGAATAGAACACATTCAGGAATGTAAATATAAGCCTAAAATAATAAAAACTTTCCGGAAAAAATCTTTTTACATATAAATTTTAAATATATTTTTCAGGAATATAAAAACGTAAAAAATTTTTATTATAGTTTCCATAGAATTAAAAATTTATTTAATTTAAAATGATTAAACACAGATATTTATTCTTCGTCTTTGAATGATATTTATACTTGGTATGGGTGGGATTAAATCTTTCAAATATTTAAAAAGTTTGTTAGCTCCTCCCATTTACCTATAATTCTTAAAAATGTCAACATAAATATTTAAAGGAAAAAATTATTAGACAGGCAAAATTACAAAATTTTTGTTTTTTCCTTAAAGTAAAATTTTAAAAAGTTTTTCGCCTCTTCGCTTCTTTTCATAAAGATTTATTTTTATATTATTTTGCGAGATCAAAAGCATGTAGGAAAAGGAAATTTACTGTATTGAGAAGGAATTTTCATAGTTATTATCAAAAAATATATTTTAAAATTTTTAACAATTGCTCGAGCTAATCCACTATCATTATCCTTAAAAACTCCGAACGATTTTTTAGCATTGTCTCCGACCCGACTCAAGCCCCGAAAAAAGCGGATCCGGTTATCCGGATCCACCAACCCTAAATCTGCTTCCAAACTTTCGGCGTTTAACGATACTAGGTTCCTTGACAATCTGCAATATATAGAATAAAGAAAAGAATAAAAGAACTTTTTTTCAGATCAGAACTAAGAACTGCCTTTCAAAAAATGGGGCATGATTTAGATGATAAAGAGATAAAAGCAATTTATTTACAAGTTGATACTAATAAAGATGGAAAAATTAATTTTATTGGTGAAAATTAAAAAAATATTTTTAACATTTATTTAATTTTAGAATTTACTGAAATGATGACAAGAAGGAAATAATAAATATTAATTATTAAATATAAGTTTTGTGCCTTTTAATTTCAATAAATAAAATTAACATTTTTCTACCTTTAAATTAATTTTTTTTATTGCACAATTTAAGAGTTTTATTAAATATTCTGAAATACCTAAATAGAACAATCACACTTAAATAAATTCCTCAAAAAATTTTTATTGAATAATGTATTTAGTTTTTTTCCAATTTTTTAAGTAAAGTAAAAACACAGTAAATACCTATGTATATTTAAAACAAAATTTATCAGAATTTGAGTTTCAAAAATATTTTTAAATAGTTAAAGCCTTTTATAAATTAAATAATATTAATTATTATCACCCCCCCCCCCATGTTCAAGCTTGTAGGGCAACAACTTGGCACCAAATCTCTTTAACAACAACATTACAATATCCATCCCCTGCAGCGCTAAATATTGGTATTTCTTTGATTTTATTTTCTTCTTTATTGTTGTCAATTGCTTTTGAAGTTTTATCACAAGTTGTGATAAATTTAGTGCCGGGAAAATGGGAAAACAAAGCAGTTTGAATTGAATTAATGGATGTCGTTGGATTGTTTGGAAGGATTGCCTAGAAATTGAAAATAAATTTTAAGAAATATTTATTTTTAAAAAATATTTACTAAAAGTTTTAGTGCTTAAGAAAAGAGAAACCAAAAACGGGAAAACAAATATTACTGTATTTCTATTTATTTTATATTTAAAAAATTTTTTTATTGAATTTTAATTAGCTTTATCTTTTTTTCCCGCACTTTAACACATGCTATTTAACTCGCGACTTTACACATGTGAATTTACTCGTGATTATAGCTTTAATAAATAGCTTTAAAATATATTTTTAGAAAAATATATTTCTTTGTCCGCTTGTGATTGTCAATCGACGATAAGTGCGTTTGAAGTTGATTATTGTAAAAAGTATATTAGAGTTTATATTTCAAAATTTATTACATTTGAGTCTCCTTTCCTTTACTTTAATTAACACTAAATGTTTCCATAAAGTTTAAACTCCCTAATATATTTTAAATGATCAAAAAATAGCTGATTTTTTAATTATTAAAAAATCCTTTACTATAAATTTAGGGGAACCCAATATATATTTTGGAAATACCAAATATTTAATATTTTCTTATAAGAAAAAGCAACTTTTTCCATAATTAAACTCCATTCAGTTTGAGGACAAGGGAGTTCCACTCCTTTAAAATGAGGTTGGATTACCTAAAAAAATATATTTATTTATTATTAAAATTAAGTTATTTATTTTATTAATTTTAAATTAAAAATAATCAAATAAATTTACTTCACGTTTCCTTCTCCCACAACATCCACCCCCTCCCCCACATCCATAACCTCCTCCGCCCCCACCACCACAAACACAAACAGGAGGTGCTGATTGAGGAACAGGAAATCCACATCCACTATTGGGTTCAAAATATGTAAACAAATGAATAATAATTAGTAAAATAAAAATTAATTTATTATTGAAGATTTTCATTGTTTTGAAGAAATTAAAATTAATTTATATATTTATTTTAATTAAATTTATAAAATTTAATTTAATTATTCTTTTAACTATCGAAAAAAATAAAAGTCGTAAAAGATTCACTTTCTATCCTAAACTTTAAAAATATCTAAAACTGGAAGGCTAATAATAAATAATTATAACTTTAACCTTTATATACACACAAAATGTTTTAGAAAAGGTGAAAATTATTTTAGAAAAATATTCCTCCCATTTTTATTAAAATACCAGATTTAATTCATTATTATAAGATTAATAACAATAAATAATTACAAAAAAAGGAGGAATAATAAATAAAAGAAACAGGAAAATAAAAGAAAATAAGGGGCTAACTTGACCTAGCACATTCTTCAAAAAAGTAGCTTCTTTACATATTTTAATTAGAATTTCAACTTAACCTTTTTTATGTTAATATTAGTAGTACCTTTTATTTTTTTAAATATAAAAAAGAAAACTTGTTCCAGTACGTGAAAATTATTTTTAATTAATAAAATAATTTATAGAAAAAATATATTTTTTTAAACTGTTAAAATAAGTATATACTTATATGTATATTATTTGTTAGAAAAAAAGAATTTAGTAAAAAAGTAGTACCAAATTATAATAATTAAAAAGTGGATATACAAAAAAGAAACAAAAGTTATTTTAATATAAATATTTCTCTTACAATTAAAATAATAAAATCTGTTTTCGTTTGTAAATAAGCGAAGAAACTGGATTTACAAACAAAGACTATTTGGTATTGAATTCAAGTTAAAATAAGATATTTAGTCAAAGAAAATCTCAATTTATTTGATAAAATATAATGAATGAACATAAAAATAAATAAGAATTTTTGTTTGTCTAAGCCCATCAAGAAGTATTTTAAACCAAATATATGACAATTTATAAACTATAGAATACTGTTTTTCGATAGAATATATTTATTTGATAAAAATAAATATTTCTCCGAACAATTTAAGTTAAAACTTTTTATTGGCTAAAAAACTTTTTTGAATTAAATTAAAAAATTATTTAAAAATTCTTTTTGTCTTTTTTAAACATAAATTTAAATTTCTAATCAATTAATATTATATTTTCAAGCCCTTCTCCCCTTGACAAAATTTGTCAATATTTAATTTAAATTTTTTTACGCCCGCGCTTATCTCCCTCTCAATGCCCTTCTCCCCCCCCCCTCCTTGACAAAATTTGGCAATATTTAATTTAACTTTTTTTACGCCCGCACTCTCAATGCCCTTCTCCCTCCCTTCTCCCCTTGACAAAATTTGTCAATATTTAATTTAAATTTTTTTACGCCCGCACTCTCAATGCCCTCCTCCCTCCCCTCCACTCCCCCCCCCTCCTTGACAAAATTTGGCAATATTTAATTTCAATTTTTTACGCCCGCACTTATCCTCCTCTAAACGTCCTCCTCGCTCCCCTCTCCTCCCTCCCCCCTCTTGACAAAATTTGGCAATATTTAATTTAAATTTTTTTATGCCCGCGCTTTTTATCCCCCCGCCCACTTATCCCCACGCCCACAGTTTGTAATTGTATCTTATAAACCTGCGATTTACTCTTAAATAATCATTTAAATAATTTAAAATATTAAAAACTTTAATTAATAAATAAATTTAATTATTCTTTTCTCTTTTAAATAAATACATAAACAAATATATAATAGAAAATGTCTAAAATATTTAAAAAACTATAGAATTTAAAATTTTTTGACTATCACTAAAATTTTTATTTAACAGTCCTAAACTATTTTTGGTTCCAGGAAATCAAAAAGCAATCGGGCCATTGAATTCACTTAGTCATGTTTTAGTTTGTAATTGTCCAATGCTTAATTTTTGTGGGATTGTTTTCTTCTAATTCATTAATTTTAGCCAAGTTTTTTTATAAATTTTACATTATTAATAAAATTTAATATTTTTTTATTTTTTAAATATTTAGTAATAAATATTTAAAATATTTGAAATCAGAAATTCTAAAATAAAAAAAACTTCTCAAAAAATTGTAGCCTTTTAAGTTATAAATAATATAAAACAAAAATAATATCTAGAAATAAATACCTACAGTTTGTAACATAATTATAGGAACATCGATATTTTTTACTCATAACCTACCTATAGTAAAGCGGTTGGTCCCGTTCCCCAGTGCCTCGTTTATTAGTTGATGTTATAAGCAAAGTCGCGCATGCTGCAGACATGTGTGAACTCCGCAGAGTATAGAAATAGGTGAATCGCACGCAGTGGGGAAATATAGGGAGAGCTCTTCCCTATAAGACGATGGATTAGCCGGCCGGCAACTCTGTTGAATGAATGAAGAAGTGATCTGCCTTTGCCTATTCTATTAGAGCTTATAAGCACCAGCCTATTTACTAATCACTTTCCCAAGGATAAGTAAGTGGCGATAATAAACTTAGATAATAGGCGGCTAATAACTCTCTGGGAATGGCCGTTTGTAATATTCTTTGCACCTTCCTGCAAACTTCCGTTAACTAGAGCGACATTGCTCTTCACGTGTTTTTAGGATGATATCCGCCTTACACCTCTAACCTTCCAATAGACCGTCCCTGGTCGTTAAGATTTGACCATCCTCAACACCTCTAACCTTCCAATGGACCGTCCCTGGTCCTATTTTATATTTTGTTTTATATTAACTGAATCCCTCAGGATATAATTTTTTGTAAAATATTCATTCATTTTTTTTACATGTGAGAGTCCCGCAGGACTTATTTTTTGAAACATAAATTAATAATTTGCGCAACGTTGTGAGAGAAAGAAAATTAAAAAATTTAAACAGATTATGAGGCTTGAAAATGTAATATAAGTAAAACTCGGAGAGTAGAACTATTAATGAAAGATATCAGTGATATTCGGAGATTATAAAGTAGAGAATTTCATTCTCTGTATTTTAAGTATATCGATATTCGCTTATTCGTTTCCACGTGTCGTAAGAATGTGATTGTGAAAATCAAAAGATATCGGTGGGATCCTACCAAAAAAATGGCTCACCAAAATTACTTTTACGACAGAGGTAACTTTTAAGAGATAATTTTCCCACTGGGTAATTTTCCGATTTTGAAATTTTGATAGTTTTTCCATACCATAAGAAGAAACACTTAGTGCTTCAATATTTGATGCTTTTAAGTTGTTATTTAATTTGTGTAAAGAACCTCTCAATAACCCGAGGTATTGAAAGGTTAATTTGTGCCTCAGGATATATGTCAATTCTCCTAATTGCGCCATACTTTGTTTAATAAATTTTTTAGCCGTTGTTTTGGCCAGCTTTTTATTTAATTTATCTTCAATGAACCCCTCAGGGTTTATATTAAGAAAAAATTTTAAAGCGTTAGACGCAACGCAGAATGAAAGATTTAAATATTTTTGTGGAAGGCGAAACAGAAAGCTCATATGGTCTTTGTTAAGATAAATTTTTTGTTAAATTAAAGTGTTAGGCGTAGTGAAGTATTTGAATGATAAAAAGGACTTCATTTTGTGAAAGACGCATGGATCATGTATAGCGAATCGTATTATTGTTTAAATTTTGGCCTTTCTTAGCGATTGGCTATTCTTTTTCCCTAATTATGTCTTAGCGTTTGTCCCTTCCAAAATTAAGTTATCTAATTTTAGTATAGAAAATGGCACTGGGGGCGGAAATGATTAAAACGAGCTAGACAAAAGATGACTGCGAGAAATGAAATGTTATTTTCTACCCCATTGCTCCCCAGTTGATATGTTTTTAGGATCTTTTCTTGACTTACTATGCGTTTGTCAATGATTAAAATGTCAATTTGTCTTATGAGAATTTGCGTTCTTTTATTTTAATTATTATTCGTTTGAACCCCTCAGGGTTTTATAACATAGATTTAAGTGTATCTGAAACTCGCTTGAACTCTTTTTTTTTGAAAAAAATTATTGAAACAAAAAAAAATTTTTTTTTTGCTGTTTGACAGACATTTATTTTTTGATCAAAGACTGTTACAAATTTTTATTAAAAGGCTTTTGAAAATTTCGCATCTTGACTTAGGAGCAAAAATTTTTAAACATTTTAAATTTAAAATACCTGATACCATTGGCGGATATCTGATTAGACTCGTACTAGATGCTGTAAGCCTTCTCAATGATTTGATGTCATTTTATTTATTTTAATGACGATGTCGTTTAATATTTCACTTTGAGCTTTTAGCATTTGTTTAATGATTGATTGTTCTTCAGCTAAATCTTCTAGAGTTTGATATTGTTCCAGGTTCTGTCGTTTACTATAATTGATCTCAAAATGACCTACCTTGTCACAATAGTTGCATATTGGTTGGTTGTCATGTTGTTTGATTGTTTCACCTTTTAATTTGCGCGAACCCCACAGGGTTTTTTTGACTTATATCATCAGTAAACTCTTCCTACTGTGTTGATATATGTTCGGTTATTTGACTTATTGGATTGAATGTAGGTTTTGGGTTTGCACATAGCATAAGCTCTGCCTCTTGAGCATTTAAAAGTAGTATGTCGAAGCTCTTCCTGTTAGGCCCAGTTAGAGTTCTTGTAAGAAATTGAAGATTTGGGTTAAGCTTTTCAAGGAAAGTTCTGCAAAGCGTTTCTTCTAAAGCAATACCTTTGTGGTCGCTAAAAGTTGCTTCTATCATAGGATTTAATCTGGAAGCAAATTGCTCTACTGATTCTCCTTCATTCTGTTTGCATATGCTTAAAGCTTTGAAGATTAGTTATCGATTTTGTGTTGTATCTAAATTTTCTTTTATTTTGTTAATGGCTCCCTCGAGAGTTGCTTTTTCAGCCTGGGGTATTTTATCAAATATTCTTCTTGCTTTCCCGTCTAGACATACTTTGAGACGGGCAATTTTATCAGTTTCACTCCACTTACCATTGCATTCTATTATGTTTTTGAATTTCATGGCCCTATGTCCGAACTCAATCACCGAATTGCCCGAAAAAATTGTGAATGTTGGAGAGTTCTCTGTTGAGAGCATATTA